CTACCAAGTGAGTTCCCGGAAAAGGCACAAAGCTACACAGAGAAACCCTGTCTCGAAAAACAAAAAAAAAATAAAATAAAATAAAATAAAAATACCTCCATTTTATGAATGAGGAACCCTGAGTCTCAGGAAGGGCTGGAGCCTAGACCTAAATTAGCAGGAGCTGGGCTGAGATACAAACCCAGGCTTTTTTTTTTTTTTTTTTTTTTTTAAGATTTATTTATTTATTTATTATGTATATAGTGTTCCGGCATGTATGTCTACATGCCAGAAGAGGGCATCAAATCTCATCCTAGATGGTTGTGAGCCACCATGTGGTTGCTGGGAATTGAACTCAGGACCTCTGGAACAGCAGCTGGTGCTCCTAACCTCTGAGCCATCTCTCCAGCCCAGCAGTTTGGTTTTGATGCCTGTTCTTCCCCAAGATGCCTTTCACCTGGACATGTGGCTACTGTCCTGGACTTCCCCACTCCACCCCTGCGGCCTGCCACCCTCTCCAGGCCTAGGCAGTGCTTATACAGCCCCTAGTATAAGGAGACCAGCATCGAAGAGAAAAGATCTGGCTCTCTTTTTTCCTCTCGCCTCTTCCTAGAGGTATATCTGTGGATGTGTCCCTAGCTCCCATCCTGCTGTGCCTCACTGTGTAAAATAGCGAGAGAGCATCTCCTCTCCTTCAGTGCCCAGCATGGTACCCAGTGCCCAACACCCAGAGAGGTCTCCCTCACCATCCTTCCCACTGCCTTTTACCCACAGGTGTGCCAGAAATCGGGTGAGATCTCTCTGCTGAAGCAGCAACTGAAGGAATCTCAGGCAGAGCTGGTACAGAAGGGCAGCGAGCTGGTGGCGCTGCGGGTGGCCCTTCGAGAGGCCCGGGCTGCCTTGCGGGTCAGCGAGGGCCGAGCCAGGGGCCTGCAGGAGGCAGCCCGAGCTCGGGAGCTGGAGCTGGAGGCCTGCTCCCAGGAGCTACAGCGGTATCGCCAGGAGGCCGAGCGGCTCCGGGAGAAGGCTGGGCATTTGGATGCGGAGGCAGCAGGACTCCGGGAGCCTCCTGTGCCCCCTGTGCCCCCAGCCACCACCGACCCTTTCCTCCTGGCAGAGAGCGATGAGGTTAAGGTGCAGCGGGCAGCAGCGGGAGCAGGAGGGAGCCTGCGGGCTCAGGTGGAGCGGCTTCGCCAGGAGCTGCAGCGGGAACAGCAGCGGGGGGATGAGCAGCGGGACAGCTTTGAGGGGGAGCGGCTGGCCTGGCAGGCAGAGAAGGAGCAGGTGATCCGCTACCAGAAGCAGCTGCAGCACAACTACATCCAGATGTACCGGCGTAACCGGCAGCTGGAGCAGGAACTGCAGCAGCTCAGCCTGGAGCTGGAGGCCCGGGAACTCGCTGACCTGGGCCTGGCCGAACCAGCCCCCTGCATCTGTCTGGAGGAGATCACTGCCACCGAAATCTAGGCTTGGCAAGGGCCACAAGACCATCCGGGTCCCAGGACTCTGAGCACTCCAGGTCTCCCAGCCGAAGGGCCTCTGCCAAGCCTTCAGGTGGCCTTATGACTTGAAGGAGCAGGATCAGACCCCTTGAAGTTCCATTCACTGTCCCCAGAGGCTCCTACCCACTCCACCATTTCACTCCCCAGCGGCCAGTGCCACTGCCAGCCCTGTTTGTCCCCAGATGTCTGCCAGCCCACTCCAGCTGGGAAGAGAAAGGGGCCACCCCATCTCCACATTCTCCCTGCCTGAAGCCAGAGAGAGCCAGAATGGCACCAGCTGCTCCAGATGTGCCTGCCCCCAACATGCCCAGGTGGAGGGACAGGGCTAGGACTGGGGTCTGATCCCCATGTCCCAGCTCTGCAAGCCTCTTCTGGACTGAGGGGGCTGAAGTCAGACCAAAGGAAGAACTCAGCAATGTCTTGTTTATTTGTGTTTGTGACCAAGCAGCCCCTCCCAATACCAGGTTTATGGCCTCGTTTTCACTTGTATATTTTTCACACTGTAAATTTCTTGTACAAACCCAAAGAAAAAATTAAAAAAAAAAAAAGTTTGTTTTTTAAAAAAAAAAGTATGCTGGATAAAGAACTGCAGGCGACCTTGTCTGGCATCTGTCTGGAGCGTTTGTCCCTCTGCTTGCTGGCTACTCACCTACCTCATGGAGTTCTTACTGGGGCGGGGAGGGAGATAGGAGGCTAATCCAGTCCAGTCAGAGGTCCTAGTGGACCACAGCAGGAGTCTTACTAAGGCCTGAGGAATTGGAAAAGCCTTCCACCCTGTCCTTTGTACTGAATGCTGCTTGAGACTGGGGGATGGACATAGTGACCTCCTTAAGGAGACTGAATTTACGCCTCTCAGAGTATGGGAAGCCAGGGGCATCCTGAAGAAGCTCACACCAGTTACAGGCTTCAGACTTGATTTTCTCTGTCCCCTCACTGAAGCGGTCCAGGACCAGGGGATGCACACGATGCAGGCTGCCCTCTAGAGCCTTGTCCTTGGACATCCAGCTTTTCTTAAAACGCCGGGGACTTCTAGACAGCCTGCAGTAGGTCACAGCCAGTGTACAGAGTATGGTGCTCTCAGCTGTCAGGCACATAGGACAGAGGGGCCTCGGTATTGCAGGACACCGGGGAGCAGCAGTAATCCTTAAAGTCAGTGGGAAGGGTCATGGGAACCCATAAGAAGAGGGGAGAGTTTGGGGGCACTTGGAGGAGCCCTAAGGGCTGGGGTGAGGGCCCTGCTGTAGTTGTCTATCCTCAGGGGGAGGGATCTGGGGTGGGGGTGGGGGTATTGTCAAGGGGTCCATGGGCAGAGGAACTGCCAGCAGGAAGGCTCTGGTCCTTAATGGCTAATGAGGCAGATGAGGGCAGCAGGCCAGGTCCAGGAACCCTGACCACAAGCTCCATAGGCTCCCGAGCCTTGTTTCTGTATGCTCTGCGGATGGTGTCCACAGCTCGCTGGTGAGTCACCTGCTCCAGGCTTTCCCCATCCACTGCCACCAGCTCGAAGCCAGCCTGGCATGGAGATATAGTCAGCACTCACATCATTCCCACCCACCACCCAACCTGAGGGCAGTGGCCTTTCACCTCCGCTAGCTAGGACACTCCTCCCCCATCTGGGTGCTGGGGATGGACAATAGAACTTTTGTGCCTGGAGCTGTTGGGGGCAGGGTGGGGCACAGACAATGGCCCTTTGTCCCTGGGGACTTGAGGTGGAACAGGATAGGCCATTCTCAGGCCCAGGCTAGCATGAGGGGACAGATTCTTCTCTAGGCCTGCCCATCCTACTGGCCTGACCCCTCTGCCTCCAAGCCGCCGCCTACGACCTGGTCTGAACATGCCTGGCTGGAAGACTAATGTGGACCGGCCCTGTACCCTTCAACCCTGGGCCTGAGGAGGCTTCGTGCTTCACCCACCTGCAGGGCCCCGCAGAGGAAAGCGGCACCTCCGGGAAAGATCTTCTCTATCTTCACCATGGGCTGCACCTTGGACTCGATGCCCCCAGAAATGCTGATGCCTGGGCAAAGTCCAAAGCGTAGTCATAGCCTTAGCCCAAACCTTGAGGTCCCAGGAGAAGCATGGACTCCCATGCCCCAAATCAGCCTTGACTTCTTCCCACCTCCAAACCTAGATTTCCTAACTATACACCTTCACACTCAGATTCCTTCCCTGCCACCCCCCTCCCATCTTCTCTCAAGCCCAGGCGTCCACCCTGCTTACCCAGCGCCTCCTGGACTCACCCAAAGACTGCTTCATCTTGGATAGCGTGACTGTCCTCAGCTCTCCAGCGGAGGGTTTCCAGGTCGTCTCCTCGGTTGTCCCACCAATGCCATTCTCCAAGGGCCCTTGCCTAGCTCCCACCTTGGCCTCCTGCCCATCCAGAGGTCGTGGAAGCAAGGGCCTTGCCTTCCGAGGCCTGTGGTAGCGCCCATTGGCTGTGGTGGCATTAGTGATGGGTGCTGGGGAAGGGGATCGCATGCGCCCAGGGGACTTGCCTCGCCCTCGGCTGCGGCTGCGGCTGCGGCTGCGGCCTGGGGTCTGACTCTGGTTCTGCTGAGTGCTTTCTTTACTTGGGGGTTCTGTCAGTAGCCAGTTAGGCCTGGGAGGCCGGGGAGCCACAGGAGGTGGTTGGGGAGGGGGTGTACATGCGCTTCGGCGAGGGGAGAAGGCATCCACCGGTACATCTTGTAGAGGGGGGATTCCTTTATGGTGGTGGCCAGGGGCAGAGGCACTGAGGGAGACCTTAAGCCCCCCTAGCCTCTCCCTGATCTCTCCGTCGTCATCCTCTGAACAGTCATTCACTGGCAGCAAGTAGAAGCCTCCACGGCTATCTGGGGGACAGGGTCAAGGTCAACTAGCTCTTCTTGATCATCAACCCCGGGATAACCTTTCCAGCCCCTGGTCCTTTCTGCTGTTTGTAGGGTTCCCGGGTGTGTGTAAACAAGGCCTGGATTTGCTCAGGTCCATTGTAAAGGGACACACAAACATGACCTATTACTAATAGTATCCTAGCACTTTGTATTGTGATCCAGTTCTCCTTTAGTATAGCCAAGAAACCAGATTTAAGTGTGTCGTCTTAAAACGCCCTTTACAGGACGATGGCCTGGAGGACAGGGCTTTCCTTCCTGACCTCAGTGACGCTGCTTGGAGGCAAGGATGGAAGGCCCGTCCTCCCTGTTCCGATGTCCCCAGGGCTGTCCCTTTCCCCCAGGTTATGGGACTCTGACTGACCAGGCACAGGGGTGATGAGGTGACGCTTAGGTGGCGTGTCCTGCCTGGTTGGTCTCAAAGCAGAAGGCCGAACTGGTTGGAAGGGAGCACAGGTCAGACAGAGGCCAGGCACTCCTGCCGCCCTCCCAGATAGGCATGCCAGCAGGCTCAGCCGCGTGAGCCACCCTCCACTCCCACCCGCCACTGGAGCTCAGGAGCTGGAGTCAGAGCTCCGCCAGCTGCTGACCTGCCCGGCTCTTGAGAGCCTCAAAAGCCTCCAGCTCCACGGGCATCACCATGCTGTCGAAGCGACCGAGGTCCGTGGGGGCCACCACACTCCTGGGGAAGGCAGGGATGTGGGGGAAGCGGGGCTTGGTTCTGGAGGTGCCGGCCTGGAGGAGCATCAGCCCTAGGGTCCCTGGGGCTTCTTGCCCCTCCCCCCCTCCCAAGCCCCTCCCAACCTGATGTCCCGCAGCAGCAGCAGCTTCTCCGGCCTGTCCAGGATGGCCAGCAGGGGGCGCACCAGGTCCTCCACACCGCCCTCATGGACATACTGTGTATAAACACCACAGATCAGACAGAAGCAGCAACTCCAAAGCTGGATGTGGGGAGACACCAGGGCACACGGGGGCCCTAGGGCCCACCCAGCCATCCTCACTCTAAGATAGGTTCACCCTATCCAAGGTCCACAAGATGGTGTGTCAGTGACTTTGTGGATGCCTGTGACGAGCCGCAGATCTGCAACAAATAGCAACAGCAGTCCTGGCGTCTGGACAGGCAACTCCCTAAGGCTGTTACATAGTCTCTTATTTAGCAGCCACTCGGAGATGATTCCTGTTTTACAGAGGGAGGAACTGAGGCTCAGAATTGGCTCAAAGCCATGCAGATGAGAAAAAAACGAGAAAAGGCTGGAACCCAGGACATCCAGCTCTTGCTTGCTCCGATGCCGGAAAATAACATGCAGCGACTGGACTCTCCTCCTACCCCTCGCCCAGGCAGAAAGAAGGAATGTGAGCCCAACACGAGGCTGTGGTCCTGGCTGCGCCCACCCTTTGTTCAGAGCTAGAATGGTGAGCTTGGGGAACGGGTGGCTCCACAGAAAGCCTCTCTAGTCAGTACCCTCTGCCTGGCACTGCCTGGATGCCACCAGCCCGGATGCCACACCCCATGGGTTCTGGAGAAGGGAATACTGGGAGCCAAGCTACTTGGGCAGCACACCGCCCCCTGGTGGTAAAAAGGAGACAGCTTCAGAGAGACCCATGGATAGTTACCTCGTATGGGCATAGAATTAGAATTAGCAGGCGCTCTGGTCATCTGAGTGAATCATCAACAAATATTTAGCAATAGATAAAAAATAAAGTGTGTGTGTGTCCCTAAACCACACACACGGTTACAGGGACTCATATCAACGGTACGCTGCCATATATGTGCGTGCCCCTCAAGTCCACAAGCATGAATTCAGCGTCTACTGTTAGAGGCACATTGTTAATAAGACCTTCTCCCAGAGCCTCAGGGACTCAAGTCGGAACGGATGGGGGACACATGAGCCCCATTCGGCAGTAACTGTAAACCACTGCAGTGGGGCAGCGAGGGTTTCAGAGAAGGGTGAAGTTTCAGAACGGGCCTCAGAAGCGGTGGCTACCCCACCAGCTCTTCCAGAGTGGACACGGAGCAGCGTGGGAGCTGAGGAGGAAAATGTCCTAAGGGCCTGCAGAATAACAAGTAAACGAAGGTCAAGGGCCACGAAGACCCTCCTACGGGGCTGCACAGCTTGAGCTCTATGTGACCAGCACCCCCTAAAACTATGCAGCTTATAATTTGTATCAGCTGAGTGGTGGCCCAGGAAAGCTGGGGTTGGCGGGTTGAGATGCCACATTGTGGAAGTCCGAGAAGGTGGGAGAAAGCAGCTTGTTCTCTATTCTGCCTCATAAGGCAACTGTAAAGCAGTAAGAGAGGTGACTTGTAATCTGGGCCTGGTGGATGTGGAGGGATGGCTAGGAGAGGGGACAGGAAGCCAGGTTCAGGGCAGCACTTGGTGGTCACGGAGGAGCTTTGCCTGCCCTCAGGCCTGGGCTCCATCTCAGAAGGTTTAGGGTGGGGCATTGGTTTGGGTGCGGATCGTTTGTAGAGCCTACAGGGTAAATAGAGCCATGGTAAAACGAAGTCCTAGTTTGCAGAGGTGGGGGTGGGTGGGTGGAGGGATGAGGGAAAAGCGTCTGCAAAGATACAGGTGCAGGGCCCCTCCTAGTGGCCAAAGCTCAGAGTTGCAAGCTCTCTGGCGCTAGACCACAAAGCCCAGTTAATGCTCAGAACAGAGAGTGACAGAGGTTAGCCCAGCGCCCCTGACAGGAACCTCCATCTGTATTTCTGTTGTAAACCAGTCCTTGGTAAAGGGATGTGTGAACGACCCCATCTTAGGCTTTGAGTGATACTACAAGGGGCACATACATGCATGCTATGCACAGACAAATGCAGGCAGGCATGTCAACCCACACCATAGACATGCCAATGGACACGTCACAACAATGCACACACAGCCCCACCATGAACCAGGTGAAGGCAGAAGTGATTTTCTAAAATGGCCCAGCTTGCCCACAGTGTGCACTAATGCATGTTCCCTGCAGAGAACCCACCACAGGGCCCTTGGGGTCCCTGGGAGAATGATAGTAAAGGATGTTCCAGTTCTCCTGGAGGGGGGAGTAGTATTCCACAGCCTCCCCAACACTTAGGCCCAGGGAGTCCTCTAAAACTGACTCCCACAGACACTGGGACCCTCTGCAACTGGCTGAAGAGGGAGGAAATGAAAGAGTGTAAGCATTGGGCGAGGATTGAGATGGGAGCCAAGGAAAACCTGCCGCAGGAATAGAAGGGGAGATGGGGGAGACGTCGGGGTTTAGAGGGGGTACAGTCAGTTGCCTAGGAAGATTCTCCCCTCCCACTCATCTCCTCAGCTTAAATGTCACCTCCTCTGAGAGGCCCTCCCAGATCTCCTGGCTTACCCATGTCTGTCTTTCACAGTGCTCTGTATGACTGGTCACTTGGGGAGTTTAGATTCTAATTATTGTCTATCTTTTCTTCCTGTGTGGGAGCTTACTGACTGGCACTGACCTCCCAGCGACAAGACCAGGGACTGGTCAATGGACAGTGGCCTGGATTGAGGGGCTGGGCCTTGGGCAGAGACTCACCCGGGAGCAGTGTCGAGTGACGGCTAGCACCTCGTCGTCTGTCAGCAGCCGCCGGGCCAGGTCCTGAATGAGGGGCCGTCGGCTTTCCCAGGCCTGCACCTGCTCATCCACATTGGGCAGCTGGCCAGAGGGGCTTCCGGACCTGGCAGAGAGCAGGGCCCGGCCCCTCTCCCGTTCTGTAGGGCAGGGGTAAGAGGGCGTGATGAGAGCTGTTAGGGTAAGGTAGAGTTCCTCTTGGCAGGGGTGAGGCTCTGAAGAGGCCAGCTGAGAACCCTGGACAGAATCCCACTGTGACCCTGCTCCCCAACATGGCCTTTCCTAACAAACTACCATCGATAGAGAGCAAACTCCAGCTCCTCCTTCATCGTCATGTTAATCTTCCCCCCACTGAAACACAGACAGGCTCCCTCGCCCCCAAATCCCTTCGGGGGTCCCATCTCTGCCCCTATCTTTTCTAGTAAGCTAACCAAGTTCTCTGCCTGATTCCACAGACTCAGCTCTAAAGCCGATAAGCTGGCCCCAGCCTGTTCCCACATTCCCCCATCTGTTGCTTTACCGTGGGGACCTTGGGATACTGGATTTACCACGTCTCAGTCTCCAGGTGACAAACTTCTGCACAGGCCCCACGCTCCCTGCTGTGAAGAAGAAAGAGGTTCAGTTCAGCTGGAACCAGAGTTCCGTTAGAAGTAGTCAGGGCAGGTACAAGTGCCTTTGTGGGCCTTCAAGGTCAGGCCCAGTTAGGGACTTCATTCATGGGCAATGGAGGAGGGGGGTGAGTGAAGGTGGTGGGCCAGAAGAGGAGGCAGTATGAACACACTGCTTATGGAGATGCATTTGGAAAGGAAGGCAGGAAAGAACCCCACGGACAGAGCTTGGTGGTACCTACCTTTCAGAGACAGAGGGAAGGAGGAGCCTTGGAAACAGAGAGGGGAGGGGCCAGAGAGGTGGGCTGAGAACCGTGAGAAAACAACCTGGGAACTGTGAGAAGAGAAAGGGGTGAGGTGAGGGCTGCCTCTGCCTCTCCTGGACGGTCACCCTGAGGCCTCTGGACACTTGGTTCTAAGGCGGAGCAACATCCAACTTCTCATCCTCTGCTTGCTTCCACCTACCCGATGCTCGCTCCCACTTCTGGAAGCAGCACCCTGCTTATCTCCTGGGTGACCCCTCCATTCTCAGCTGGGCACATGGCCCAGGGTAAGCAGCAAAATCACCTGTCTACCGGAGCTCATGTCTTGTTTTCCGCTCACATCACAGTGATTTGCTCAGCATGACAGATGACCCCAGGAGGCAGAGAGAGCCCTGACTGCCCCTTCAGCTAGAACTGTTTACAAATCTCCCTGTAGGTCAGGTGTAGTGGTGCACGCCTTTAATCCCAGCACTTGGGAGCCAGAGACAGGTGGATCTCTGTGAGTTGAAGGCCAGCCTGGGCTACAAAGTGAGTTCCAGGACAGCCAGGACTGTTACACAGAGAAACCCTGTCTTGAAAAACCAATAATAATAATAATAATAATAATAATAATAATAATAATAATAATAATACAAAAGAAGAAGCCCAAACAACAAAAACTCCCTCCTGTCCAGGGTTGCTAAGGGACAATGGCCATCTCACCTTCAAGCTGACAAGCCTTCTAAGGTGGAGGCCCATGCCTGAGGGAGATGTCTGCTGGTATTGCTCCTTCAGATGGGCTAACGTCATGAGCTGAGCCTAGAAGCACTCTAAAGCTAGCTGGACTCGAGTTTCTGTCCCGTGCAATTGTGAGTTTTCCCTCATCCATGTTGGGTCTGGAGCCTCAACAGGGTTGGCAGGCTTCTTGTGAAGGTCCTTAGGAAAACTACCTGGGGCTGGGCTGAAACCTGGTGGCACAGTGCCTGCCTAGCGGGCCCGGGGCCCAAAGGTTCAATCATCATGACTAATGGGGTGGGGACGGTGTCTCCCTTTGAGTCCTTTCCATCTGAGTCCTGACTGAGAAGTGGCTTTCCTTGGGGACAGTTCTAGAACTGGGTTGGGCCTGTGGAGCTCTGGATGGAGGGTGTGAAGCCAGGAGCCCTCCCTAGCAAAGGTGCCTTCCATTGCCACCGCCACCAAAGCACGTGACTCCAAACTGAGCTCAATCACTTCTTGCTGTGCCTGAGTCTGTCATTTCACCGTTCTGAGAAGATGACAGGATGACAGTGGCCACCCGACTTCCGGAGCACCTTCTAGGACCTAGACAAGGTGCTGACTTATAGTCACTCGTCCTCTGATTTTCTATATGCCCAAAGAAACGAGTTCTACAGATTTTTTTTTTTTTTGAGACAGGGTTTTTTTTTTGTGTGTGTGTTGCCCTGACTGTCCTGGAGCTCACTCTGTAGACCAAGCTGGCCTCGAACTCACAGAGATCCGCCTGCCTCTGCCTCCCCAGTGCTGAGATTAAAGGCGTGCGCCACCACCGCCAGACAAGAAATGAGTGTTAACTCTTCTGTTTAACTTGTGAGGGTGAGTGGCGGGGTAGGGTGAGATTTCAACCTGGAACTGCCAGATGGATCCCAGCACCTACCTTTCTCCAGGTCCAGGCGAGGGCGGACTTTGGTGGGGCTCCTGCTGTCCAGTGTCCAGGCCTCTCTATGCGCGTCCCCTGCTGGCCGCCCCTGCCGCCCTCCCTTGAAGAAGAGGTTCATCAGCGTCTTGGAGCGCTGCAAGGCCCCCTTCTCCCCAGGGGACCCTGACTTCTCCTTCTTCCGCTGCTTCTTCTCCTCTGTAGACATGAGGGAGCCCCCGGGGGGGCTGGAGGGTGGGCAGAAGAGGAGGAGGGGGCAGGGGGATAGGAGAGGGCAGAGAGAGGGGGGCAGACGGGGTCTGCAGCCATTCCAGAGTGGCAGTGGATGGAGTAGGGTCTTCGTCCTGCCTTCCACCTCTCCCCTACACACAGCGCCAGGGACGCGGGGAATCTACTGTGTGTCTGTAACTAAACACGTCTGGTCATTCCAGGCTGGAGGAATTGGAGTTAGGTCTGGTTTGGGGCCCAGAGCTTCTCAGTTTGGGGGCTGGGACTGAGGCTGGGTTTGGGGCCCAGGCCTGTTTATGAAGGGAAGCCTAGAGCAGGATCTGCGGATATTCTGGGACTGGACCTGGAACTCGGCCTAGGCCCTGGGATTTGGGCAAAGGCAGATTTGGGATTGCTCCTTGGTGTGTTTGAACTAGGGACTATGGGGAAAGTGGGACCCCCCCAACATACCCCACAGTGTCAGGTGGCTCTGGGATCGGGTGATGGGAGGCCTGGGTCGGCTGAGGGCCAGCAGCAGAGCCGTCTTGGGCGACTCTGAGAGTGCAGAATCAAGGCGTCGGACAGAAGAGGGACCATCAGAGCGGATGGCCGTGTCCCTGAGGATGACGGTTGGCCGTACACTGCACCAAGTTTCCACACGGCTGCCCATATCAGGCTCCGTCTGCATGGCCGTGTCTGCCCGCCCCCAGCCTGGGCCATGGCCACCGGGCTCCTCAGGCCCTAGGCAGACGTCCATGCGGTCAGAGGGCAGTGAGCCTGAGCTGCACAGGGCACTGGAGGCACAGGAGGAGACGCTGGAACCACTCTCCGAGGCCGGAGACAGCTGCTGCAGCACCCCACTGCTCACTGCAGGGGAGAGGGGGCTAGGTCACTCAGGTGCCCGCCTCCTTCCTTCCCTGGGGCCCGGGCCATGCTCACACACTACCCTTGGGCTTTGGGGTGGGTCAGAGATGCCAGCTGCTCAGACTGCCATCTACATCAGGGAGCCCTGGGAAGTCACTTCTTTCCTCACCTGTGGGGACTTGAGGCCTAGAAGACCCTGGCATTGAGTCTGGAAATCCTCAGTGAAGGCTATAAGCAGCTCTGGGCTGCGAGAAGGTCCTGAGGGCATCTTGGTCCCTCTCTTTCTTTCCCCAAGGAGTCCAGCCCCACCCTCGGGCTCCTCCCTTTCATCTCTCAGGACTTACATCTGTCCAGCCAGCAGTACTCAGAAACCATCTCTTTGTAGGCAGGGTACCGGCCCGTCTCCTGGAGAAGACATGGCGGGTATTGGAGGAGCAGGAGAGAAGTCAGGAGGAATTCGCGTAGGACAGGAGTAAACTTGGCAGCTCCATCCTGTCCCTCCCCACTGGGTCCATCCGGCTTACTTTCTAAACGTGCTGATTTCCTTTGTAGCTCAGGCCTTTGCTCCTGCTCCCCTTTCTCCTCCCTGTGCTAATCACATGGCTAGCTTCGTTCTTTGACTGCCACTGCCTGGGCGACTCTCCTCTGGCCTTGATTGCAAGGCCCTTCCTCAATTACCCCACTCCCCTTCTGCTAATTTCCTGATAGCATTTGTCAAAATCTGATGCTCACTGTTCCCCAGGAGCAGAGAGGCCTTGTTGGTCTACCCTGATCTCTGTGCAGCCCAGCACCTGACCTCGTAGGTGCTCAAAAATACTATCGAACAGCCAGGCAGGGTGGCTCTACCTGGAATACTGGGTTCCCTAGTGCCTGGGACCCGAGAAAGGAGGAGCTGGAGTTTGAGGCCAGATGTGGCTATATAGAAAAATCTAGCCTGGGCTACCTAGTGAGATTCTCGAAAAACAACACACACACACACACACACACACACACACACACACACACACACACAGAGGCACAGAGTTATCAACTGAATTGGGGAAGAGCTGGAGTTAGGAAGAATGCTCCAGATAATTAGAAAAGGGAAGATGTACGTGGGAGAGATGGCAGTGGAAGTTAGGAGGTAGCCAATGAAGCGCTGGATGACGCTGGGTGACAAGCCGGGAGAGAGAGAGGACAGAGCAGGGAGCCTGGTGGACCCCAGGGAAGTGTGAGTCACCACCCCTGTGCTCAGATAAAGACCTTAAGTAGGCGTGAGAGCCACGTGAATAATGAAACCCACCACCTCCTAGGAACCCCAATCTCTGCTGTACCCCAGGGATCCCCACAGCTGAGGTCTTGCACACAGCTATAGCTCCTACTCCATACTTTAGTCTTCACCTTGAGGCCTTCCCCCATGCCGAAGGAGAGCTACGATGCTAGAAATACCTAGAAATACGGGGAGTCAGGCCAGAGCCAGGCCAGGCTACTGACCAGCTGAGTGACAGCCGACAGCTGCGTCTCTAAGCCTCGGTTCCCTCTCTTGCCAAATGGGCGTGAAAAGACTTTCTGCTCTCTCTCCCCCTGGCTGTGGAGTTGCCATTAGTGGCAGGGCGAGCAGCCCAGTGAGGAGCTAGGGTGTTCTGGGAAGTTCCAGACCTAGCCTGGCCTCTCCCTGCGGGAGATACGGGATTATCATCCGGCCCACCTTGATGGTCAACATTATGTGCGTTTGGCCCTTCAGCACCTCCACGGCCTGGCTGTGGCTGATGTCATCGAACCTGACACCGTTGGCCGCCAGGACCTGGTCCCCCACTTTGATGCCATTCTCCTCAGCCAGCCCACCATGGTCCACTCTGGGGATAGACGGGTGTGGCTTGATAAGACCCTGGCCTGCCTCCCTCCCCCTAACCCAGACCCCCTTCACTTGGCTATGGGAGTGCCCACCTACACCCCTTGGGCCTCTTCTGACTGACAACACCCTTTCCCCAGGCGCTATCCTGAAGGGCCAAGCCTCATGTGTTGACCCCTCCCCAAACTCCACCTCCAGCCCCGCCCCAGCCCCGCCCCAGCACTCACTTAGACACATAGATGCCCAGGCCAAACTCCTTGCCGCCGCGGATGTTGAAGCCTAGGCAGAAGTCGTCCGAGGTTGTGTAGAGGTGGACGATGCGCCGCACACCGTCTTCTGAGCTGCTGTCCGATGGCGTGGAACTGCACTTCTCCACCACGAGCCGCCGGTTCACTACATCCACCCTGCCGGGACCCAAGAGGCCCTGACCCCAGGTCCCCCAGGAACATCCAGTCCAAGAGCCTTGGCAACTGATTGGAAAGAGCTGATTCCCTTGCGGCGGGGGAGAGGACTTCTCCTGGCCCAGAGTCTTCAGTGGGATATAGGCTTCATCAAACCCGTGAAACAATCTGAAGCACCCCCTCACCTTTCCCTACTAAGAAGTTGCAACGAGTGGAGGCCCCTTTCCCTATCCTGTTTGGTTTTTGATGCTGCGGATGGAGCCCAAGGCTGCCTGGGCTATGCTAAGCATCTCCCTTACCACTGTCTTTGCCCCTGAGCCCCAGAGCCCCATTTCTGATCCTTCCAAGTCCCCGTGGGGAGATACCCAGAGAGTGCAGGGCTCAGTGCTAGAGAGCAGGGCCGCTGGGCAGGGACAGGGGCAGGGGACGTGCGGGGTGGGGGTGGGGGGTGGAGGGGGTGAGGGGGGGTGGCGGGGGTGGGGTGGGGGTGGCGGTGGTTTCTGAGCAAGGCCCGGGTGCTACTCACCATGTGGTCTTCTCCTTGGAGAACTTGATGCCAGGCACACGGCCCATGCGCCGCACCATCATGTGCAGGCAGCTGCTGCTGGTCAGCAGCCTCACGGCACTGCCCATCGTGGTACTTTCTAGACTCAGCCCGTTCACCTCGGTGATCTTGTCCCCCACACACAGGCCAGCCCGCTCTGCACCGGAGCGGGGAAGGGTCAGTGGGCCGCACACGTCCGTTGACACTAGGCTGTGTCCCCCAATCCGCTCAGCAAGAGAGGGCTCTACCTTCCATCAGTCCCCACCCTCAGAGCGGAGGTGGCTCCTACCCTTGGCCACCTAGTTGCTGCTACCCACTGAAGAGGTGGCTCACCCCAGCCATGCCCCCCAAGGGCTCCCTGCTCACCTGCACTGCTCCCCTCCTCCACCTTGCTGACGAAGATGCCCAGGCCATGCTCAGAGCCGCCTCTCACGCTGAAGCCTAGCCTCCCAGAGGGGCTCTTCTCCACCCGAACTGCATGGATGATGTCACTTTCATCACTGTTGGCTGTGAGGATAACCACACAGGTATGACCTCCATGTTAATTCTGGGGTCCCTAACTTGGTGTCTGCAAAGGCTGGCTAGGCTTCTGTGCAGAGCCACCCAGATGATGCACAAGGCCCTACATGGAGATGGTATACAAGTCCCCTTCTGGGTAATTCTGAGACCGCAGGCCACTCACTGACAGTGCGGGAACAGGCGAGAACAGCTCAGTTAGATTCCATGCTCTCTCTCTCTCTCTCTCTCTCTCTCTCTCTCTCTCTCTCTCTCTCTGTGTGTGTGTGTGTGTGTGTGTGTGTGTGTGTG